TTAATGTTTACATATGCTCCAGTGTACATATATTATAATGTGTAATTAGGTATATACACATACACCTATCTAATGATTTATGGTAATTCTTGCTGGAAAGTGGAATTATGGTACATTTATTTTCTGGTTTTTTGCATTTATAAAATTATACATGTTTCACTCAGCTGGGTGTCATGGTGCACACCTATAATCCCAAGTACTCCAGGGGCTAAGGCAGGAGAACCACAAGTTCGAGTGCAGCCTGGGCAGCCTAGCAAGATCTGTCTCAAAATAAGATATAAAAAGGGCTGGGAATGTAGCTCAGCTGTAGAATGCTTGCCTAGTATGTGCAAAGCCATGAGTTTGATCTCTGTTGAAAAGCTTTACTGGGGCTAGGGATTTAGCTCAGTGGTTCCACCGCCTGCCTCGAAAGCACAAGGTCCCGAGTTCGATCTCCAGTACCAAAAATAAAAGGTTACTAACATAATAATAAAAAAAAAACATAAATAATCAAGGGGAAAGGCTAAATGGTAAATTTTGAATCAAGTTTAATAATTACCCACAATAAAATTTCTCCATTTAAAACATGTTTTCTCCTGGGTCTGGTGGCTTTCTCCCAGCATTCCTGAGGCTGAGGCAGGAGGATCAGGAGTTCAAGCCCAGCCTGGACTATATAATAAGACCCCGTCTTTAAAAAAAAAAGTTTTTTAAATAACCAAGTTGATTATACTAGAAACAGTCCTAAGTATCTTGCCATGCAGTTTCTAATTAAGAACAATCTCTGTTTAAATGGGGATAGAATAGACTTATGTACATTAATAAATTCATTTGGTGGTCACAATATTAAAATTAGGTCGGGCTGGTGATTTAGCTCAGTGATTCTGGCACCTGCCTCGAAAGCACAGGGTCCTGAGTTCAATCCCCGGTACCAAAAACAAAAACAAAAACAAATCACAACAAAAAAGCTACTTAACCACTGCTCACAGATATTATAAGGGAAATTCCTACATAGAATATAATTCTGAGCTAGATCTCTACTCCAAAAACAATGTGATTCATTTTAAAATGCCATGTTAGGAAATACCATCATGCTACAAAAATATACTAATTAATGAATCCTAAATCTGGGATTTAAAGAAGTGAAAAGATTCTCCCTTTTCCATTTAAGGGAAGTAAGTTAATCAGTGACCAAAAGGAAAGGTATGTGCTTCACAGAATCAGGTATGTTCACTTTAGTTCAGTCCCTCTCTGTTGGTTACCCATGTTTAAAGAAGGAATTTGACTTTCAGAGGGATTCCCTGCTAAAACCCACATCACATTATTTATGTAGCCATGTGCATGAGCACACACATACAACCTGCTCATTGCTGTTGTTTATTTTATCATCTCTGCATTTTAATATTTGAGAATATATTTTTATTTTAATAGTTATATGTATTTATGGGGTACAGGGTGACATTTCAATACATATACACAATGAATATTGTGTAGGCAACCCCTTGCCTCCACACATGTACAACCTCTGCATTGCCCTTGTATCGCAGCACTCATCTAGAGCTGATATAATTTCAAACTATGTGGGTACTAATTTAAGAAAATTAGGAAATGTTGCTTTTCCTGCATTTGCAAAACAAATCCAACATTTTAAAAACATAGCCCAACACTGTTTCATCTTTTGAAATGAGGAAACAGATGACTGACTTAAGGAAATCCGAGACTAGATATTTATAAATTCCAAAGATATCACAGATGTTGTGCCTCTTTTTTAAAACAAGTCTTTTCTAAAGAAGAATTATGACTAATTAAGTGTGAGTGCATGAGCATAGGCAGGAAATTTGATAAAAATCCAACAAATTAGGACACAGTCCAGGAAATCTCTTGGGGGTTATGTTCCTTACAAGTAGATAAATATCTTTCTAAAAGTTAATGTTCTTTAAAGAGTTCTCTAAAGCTGGCATGTGACATTTTTGCTATTCCTGTCTGGTCAAAATTTTTTAAATTTCTGAAAAGTAAAGGAAATAAATTGTAAACACTGTGGAAAGGTTTCTATTTTTTCTAGAGAATCACAGGATCAAAACTAAACTCAATATTATTTCATTTGGTTCAGCAAAAGTTTGCTTGCAGATTACAACTGCTATAATGCCAACAAAAGTATCTATTGTTCAATAGGGTTTAACTTCATATCAAATGTTACAGTTTAGTTCTGTTTGCTCCTGAAATATTCCGTCATATTACAGCTCTGTATCTGTCTCTGGGAATGAGGTTACAAAGGGCCAACTTTACTTATGTTTCGTTTTATTTGTACATTTTCAGGTTCTTAACGTAACATGTTCTGAAGGCTGACATTCAGGAAAAATACAAATCATTGAAAATACGTTATCAAGCAGAAGAGCGATTTGCTCATGTAATAGACAAATACTAAAAGCGTAATTTTATTTCATAGGCCCACCATTATAAAATTTTAATATCTATCAAATTATTAATATCAAATATTTATTGATAAAAGTTTAATATAAAAGAAAAATATATTAAATGAACTTCATCTGCTAATCTTTGTCTTATATCTACACATTCCCTCTTCCCATTATACTATGATTCCATATATTTTTAGATAGCATTATTGTATCATTTTTATTGGGTTTTTTTTTTTGGTACCAGGAATCAAACTTGGGACCTTGCACTTGCGAGGCAGGAGGCAGAACCACTGAGCTAAATCCCCCCATTATACTATGTACATCCATATAAGAAATTGAAAGTTCAATATAGAAAGATGCCAATTCCCTTTTAACATGAACTTTTGAAATGTAAGGACTTTTATATAAAAGGATGACTTCTTTTATAAACATACAGCTCCTAAAAATCATTAAGGAAAATATCACCTTGATCCAAAATGGGCAAAGGTACTTATCCTACAAATATGATCATACATTTGTAAAATAATGTGTGAGTTGAAATAGAAATATACAGTTAATGCTTAAATTTTTAAAAAAATACAGTAAAAGACACATTGCCATTAATCCTGCTCAGAATATTCTTTGCTTTGAACACACTTACCCTAACCTTATTGCCATTTTCTGAAGCAGTTCTGGAAGTCTTCTTTCGTGAGTGTCTTTAGTTGCACTGTCATGGCTCTCTTGATGTCCTGAGCTGATTCAAAACATTTATCTTTCATTTACCTTAGAGAAGAGCCAGAAGTTGCACAGTGCTAGATCTGGTGAGTAAAGTGGATGGAAACACACAGTGATGTTTTAACAAAGCTGCCTTTCTGTTGGATGGCATTCAACAACAGCATTAACTGACTTTTGATCATACCTCATAAAGATACGGAAGAGAACTTTTAGAACTGCTTCAGAAAGTGGAAAGAATGATGGAATTAATGTGGTCAAAGTGAGGGGGAGCATTTTGAGGAGGATTAAAAGCAATGTGTCTTTAACGGTAATAATTTTTTTTTTGGTACCAGGGATCGAACTCAGGTCTTTGCACTTGCGAGGTAAGTGACAGAACCACTGAACTAAATCCCCGGCCCAATTGTAATAAATTTTTTAAAATTTAAACATTCACTACATATTTTGATCACCCTTTGTATATAAGTATAGTCTTTGAACCTTTGTTTATAATAACAAAAAATTGGGAACAACTTAAATGTCTACCAGTAGAAACCCAGTTAAATAAATTATAGCATAATCATACAATGGAATACCATGTAGCCATTAAAATAAAAATGAAGTAGTTTTCTCTGTACTAATATGGAACAACTACCAAACTATATAATAAAGAAAGCAAAATCTAAACAATGTGAACAATATATTCCCATTAGTGTGGAAAGGAAAGGTTTATGGTTATATGCATATGTCTCTCCAAATACATACAATATTTCTCAAAGAATCCATAAGAAACTAGTAACTATATTGATCTCAAAGAAGTTGAGAAAAGAACAATGGTTTTTAGAATCTGGAAAGTGTATGGGGAAGGGAGGAATGCAGAAAGGGTAGCTAATAGGTACAAGGCTGCATTTGAATAACCAGAATTTCTTCTGATATTCTATAGTACAGTATAGTATACATAGAATAATTCTAGCACTGACAATTAATTGCACCTTTCCAAATAGCCAGTAGAGAGGATTTTGAATGTTTGTAACACAAAGAAATGAGAAATGTAAATTACCTTGATCTGATCATTACATATTGCAAACATGTATTGAAATATCACACTGTGTTTTGTGCTCCATAAATATGTATCCTTACTGTGTCAATTAAAAATAAAAATATATTTTAAAAAAGAAATAATAAAAATACAGAGATGAGGGGTAATAAAAAACAAAACTGGTAACCATACTTTCTCCAGGGATCAGGGAAAGAAGGAAAGTGTACTCTTTTTCTTTCTTTCTTTCTTTCTTTCTTTCTTTCTTTCTTTCTTTCTTTCTTTCTTTCTTTTTCTTTCCTTCTTTTTCTTTCTTGCACTACCAGGAATTGAACCTAGAGCCTTCATCCTGAGCTACACCCCCAGCCCTTGTTTTATTTTATTGTGGTTTTTTTTTTGGTACTGGGGATCAAACTTGGGTCCTTGCACTTTCAAGGCAGGCGGCGGAACCACTGAGCTAAATCCCTGGCCCTGTTTGTTTTATTTCTTATTTTGAGACAGGGTCTCTCTAAGTCATTAAATTGCCCAGGCTGGCCTCAAACTTGCCTTGCCTCAGCCTCCCAGAGTTCTGGGATTACAGGTATGTGGCACCACGCTCAGCTTCTTTTTTTGCATCTTTTTGAGTATCACTAAGATTTCTGCAAGAGGCTTTGGACAGAACTAGCCAAAACAATGCCTATTTGAATATCCCAACCCTTAACTTTGTGACTGATAACCAGACCCAAATCAGCCAGCATTCTCTTCCATAGACAAACAAGTCTATGGAGCCATGCCTCTCAATAGCTTTCGATCAGGAATGAATTCTCCACTAAGAACAACTCCAGATAAGTCCCACTTTGGACTAATAGTTGGTGATTCACAGCACTCATTTCCCTTTTTAGGTGACGAGACAAACCATGCTTCTGCCACATCCACACAGGACATTTTGGATCAAGTGACTTCTGAGAAGAAAACTGAGGCTCAGCCTGTCCACCAAGCTTACCAAATGAGCTCGTTTGAACAGCCCTTCCATGCTCCATATCATGGATCTAGAGCTGGAATAGCTACTCAATTTAGCACTGCCAACAGACTGGTGAACCTGGGGGAACCAGGGACAAGTGCTGAATGTTCAGAATTTCCCTTGGTGAATGTAAATGATAACAGAGCTGGGATGACATCTTCAGCAGATGCCACAACTGGCCAGACTTTTGGCTAAAAAAAAAAGTGTAAATAATACTGGCACTTTAGAACAGATTAATCAAGTGTGGGGTTACTCTGTGTAAAATGGAGTGCTGTACAGATTTAAGAGCAACGCATTCTAACAAGTTAAGCTGATATGAATAGCAAGACAATCCAATACCTGCATTTTGTTTGGAGAATCACTAAGAAATATGTGTCCTTGATTTCCCAAAGGATTAGTGGTATTGATTTGAAGATTGTGGAAGACACTGCCAACTACAATTCCCACTCAAATGAGAATCCCACTGAGTTCCAAAGATGGGTGTGGCAGCAGCTGATTGGGAGATCAAACAGGCAAGTCTTTAAGAAGTTGGTCGATTTCTGTCTTACCTTTATGAAGCCTTTTAAATTTTTCGTTACTTTTTATTTCCTAAAAAAGCTCCTCCCTTCTATTTCACCCCAGGAAATGCATCCCTGAAATTTGTAGTGTAAGAGAAGGGCTCCACATTTCAAACTAGTACCCATTTTAAGTCAATATTTTCTGCAGAATAAATTTATTTTTTCTATATACAGTTCTTTTATAAAAGCATCTACATTTACAGTATTTACTTTTACCAACCCAATTAGGGACAACAATGAAGCCATTCTGATGAATATAGAAAAGTAGTAATCAGGAATTATGTAGAATCATTTGTCTTTTTTTTTGGTACTGGGGATTGAACTTGGGACCTTGCGCTTTTGAGGCAGGTGGTGGAACCACTGAGCTAAATCCCTGGCCTAGAATCATTTGTCCTATATCTGCCTCTGCTGCCGAATAATTTTTATACTCTAATTCATTCATTCATTTATTTTGACTGTTATAATATCACAGCACTCATCACACAAATATAGCGCTGCAAGGAGTATTAGATATTGTAGAGTGGTGTTTTTTTTCCCATTTATCTATTTATGTACCAGGGATTGAACTCAGGACCTTGCTCTTGCCAGGCAGGCACACAGCCACTGTGCTACATCCCTAGCCCTTTTTCCCTTTTAAATCTGTTTTTATTTTTTTATTATTATTATTATGTGGTTTTATTTTTTTTGGTATCAGGGATCAAGCTCAGGTCCTTGCACTTGCGCACCTTTTTCCCTTTTAAACAATAAACTTTGAAGCCAGGCACAACTGTTCATGCCTGTAATTCCAGCGACGCAGGAAGCTAAAGTAGGAGGCGCACAAATTCAAAGGCAGTCTGGGCAACTTTATGAGACCCTATTTGCAAAATCTCAAAAGACAAAAATGAAAAGAGCTGGAGATGTATAGCCATTGTAGAGCCCTTACCTAGCATGCATGAGGCCTCTGGTTCAAGTTCCAGTATTAAAACACACAAACACACAAACACACACACACACACACACACACATGCACAACCCCAATATATCTTGAAACTTCAATTTGTTCTTTAAATTTACTCAGAAATGTAAAGCTTTTTTTGTATTGTTTTGTTTTGTTTTGGTACCGGGGATTGAACTCGGGACATTGCGCTTGCGAAGAAGGTGCCGGAACCACTGAGCTAAATCCCCGGCCCTTGTAAAGCTTTTAAATGAGATATTTGTTTCAAAATTGCAACACCAAAACATCTAGCAATAGTTTTGTCTTATTCATCTCAGGTGAGAAACACTCAAAATTTAATAGATTGCAATCTATTTACACTTAGATTCTAGGAGATGGCAAATATTGCTGTGCATCACAAATTAATTTTTATCCAAAGCAAGTGAAAACCCAAAACTAGAATTAGAAAGCCTGGACCCACTCATCTGAGTCAGAGAGTAGCATATCAGGTTATAAGCCACATGTTTGTTGGCAAAGAAAAATTGCAAATTTAGGAACATAACATCGATATCTTATTAATCAAGGACAGATGAAATTTGACTCCAATGAAATTCTGTTTTCTTCATCATATTTGACATAATGCATATTGTGTCTCCTGCAGAGTTGTGCTCAGAGATGCTTCGAAGAGAGAAGTGCAGATCACTTGGCAATGCCCAGGTACAGCCCTGGGCACAGTCTCCCTGGGCAGCTGTGAGCCAATGACAGGGAAAGGCTTGGGGCCTTGGACTTGGCCATTTCTGCCCCACACAGACCTGCTCTGCAGGCAGTCTGCACAGTGCAGCTCTTCGTTGGATGGGCTAAGACTTTCTCAAAGTTGCCTCATAGCCCACAGCTATTGCAATTCAATTCTTAGTTCCTCCTTCACTTCTCTCAGACCTTCATCAGACCATCATCTCAGACTAAAGGCTTTTTCTCATTACTCCCATTCTCTTTGCTCTCTATCTCTCACAAGTTTTCATCTCCAATAAATCTCTTGTGCTGCTATATTGGTGTCTGCGCCACCATGCCCAGCCCAGTCATCTTTTTATTTTCTTTTATGGACCTTCCATTTAACTATGGATACAGCTATAGTTAAATATTTGTTTCCTTTTTGCGACTTAATTTTGCAAGGCTACTTCCTGTAAGCTTTTATAATTTTAAAAGCTTCTCCAACAGGCCATTCCAATTTAGCATTATTCTGTAGTCCTTTTCTTGGTAAAAACATCCAAAATACTATATGATTTTTCATCATAAAAGTGATAAAGCAAAGACATCCAATGAACAAAGCCTCTTCTCATCTGAGACTGAGACAACAGCTCAATTTGTAGAAACAAATGCTTACTGCAAATTAAAAATTGTTTATTATTGTTTTTTAAAGTGTTGAAGAAATTTGCCAAGATGGTCTTTTTCTCTGTCCATTTTGAATTGAACTGACAATCAAATATTAAGATTTGGGCCAGGGATTTAGCTCAGTGTTTCCGCTGCTTGCCTTGCAAGCACAAGGTCCCGAGTTCAATTCCCGGTACCAAAAAAAAAAAAAGACCCTGTCTCAAAAATTAAGATTCAACTCAAAAGCAGAATATAAAAGGCAGCTCTAATTAGGCTAATTTAGTAAGCATATTTCAGGGCTCTTTACCATGCCTCCCTTAAAATAGAAATTTCCCACTCTTCACAAGAGAGGATAGATATTGGGAAGTAGGAAGAACATGTTCTAATGGAAGGGGAACAAGGGAGGGGAAAGAGGGAAGAGAAAGAAGGGAAAAGGGGAAAAGAGAGAATAGAAAGAAAACAATGGAAACCAAGTTTTTGTAAATAGGGAGGGGAAGAAGGGTTGAAGGAAGGGGAGGGCAACGAGAAAAAACGAAGAATCAAGATATATTATGTATAGGTACAAATTTCCTGTGATGAATGTGATCAATATGTATGACATATATGTACTAGTAAAAAAAAAGTTTAAAAAATTGATTTCCAGCCAGGAATGTAGCTCAGTGGCACAGCACCTGCCTGGCAAGTACGAGGCTCTGAGTTTGATTCCAAGTACCAAAAAAAAATTTAACTTCCAGCTCTTTGAGAAACTGAAATTTTTTTTTTTTTTTGTACCAGGGATTGAACTCGGGACCTTGTGCTTGCAAGGCAGGCAGCAGAACCACTGAGCTAAATCCCTGGCCTGAGAAACTGAAAAATTTTAAGACACTGAGGCATCCCTGAGATCTGTCTGCCTGTCATGTGCCTTATGACTAAAACATACCTCTCAGAAAATGGCCTCACAGAGGCTTAAAAGTCTGAGAAGGGAAAAGTAACATCATTCTCTTAGTTGTACCATACCCAAAACTCAGAGATAAGTTTTATTTGAGTCTGATCTTCTGACTGTTGAAAATAGACTAGTTGCAACAGAGGTGTCAGGTGGCTTCTATGTCAACTTCAAATTCAAATTTAGGAAGTCCTTCCTGCCATCAGGACATGTTGTGCAAAGTAACAATAGATTTCTCAGCCATAAACACACTTTGACAGATCTAAATTCTGCCTAGTTTGTTCTTTTTCACATCTCACTATAGATGGCAAAAGAGGTCGTTACTCCCATGATTCACTGGGAATAAAGTACCTTAGTAGAGTCAAGATTTGTAAGAGAATTTTCCAAGAGCAACATGGTGTTCTTGGTTTTTGGTGTTTTAGCTACTCCAGCGATAAATAGTCTTTTCAGTAACATGCTGAGTGGAAGCAATATTTGATTCCTTCCTGTAAGTATTCTATTTTAACTAGCTGACTATGGCTTAGCAAGATCCTTAAGTAACAGGACAAGGGACACATGAATTTTGATGAGTAACAAGTGTGAACCATGAAGCAGTCCTTAGAGAGGGAGCCAATTCCAAGGGTGAGTAGTGTCACCAGGGTAGAAAGACTTGGAAGGACTGGCTGGTTATGGAGGCCCTATGAACTCACTGGGGAATTTAAATAGGGGAAAGTGTGCTTCTAAAAAGCTGAGGCTTTTTTGACAGAGACTGTGACAATATGCTTTCCCTGTTTCTCAACCTGGGCAGGCCTGATCCTGTCTCTAGTAAGTACTGCTGTTTTCCCACTTTGTAGGTGACTACAGTGAGTAAGAAGGAAATAATATCAGATGAAACCCCATGGGAGCCTGGGAGAACTAATGCACCTGCTTGGATTAATTGGGTCCTTAGGACAATCTTAGTTTCCTCCCCCCCACCCACCTTTTTTTGTGGTATTGTGATTGAACCCAGGGTCTTCACACTGAGCCACATCTCTAAGCACTTTATTTTTCAACACAAGCTCTCGCTAAATTGTCCAGGCTAGGCTCAAACTTGTGATCCTTTCACTTCTGCCTCTCAGAGTGCTGGTATTACAGGCCTGTGACACCAGCCCATTTAATTTTAATTTTTTATTTTGAGACAGAGTCTTGCTAAATTGCCCAGGCAAGACTCAAACTTGCAATCTTCCTTCATCAGCCTCCCAAAGCACTGGGATTACAGGTGTGCGCCACTCCACCCAATTTAGAAATCTTTAAATCAGGGTCCCCAGCTGGCATCAGTCTGTACCCTGTTAGCACTTGGGCCACATAACAGGAAGTGAGTGGTGGGCCACTGAGGGAAACTTCATCTGTATTTACAGCCACTCTTCATTGCTGCAGTTATTCCCTGACCTCCACTTCCTAACAGATCAGCAGCAGCATGAGATT